AATGACACTAAATTTCGTCGCGCGATTTTGAGCTAAACTATTTAACTACGTCGTAGTCTTAGACTCCAAAAATCAAACAAAAAAATGGGACTCACCTGCAAGCATTACCTTTCGGATAAAAAAAGAATTATCAAAATCGGTCCACTAGCGGCGGAGTTATGCCGTAACACACATAAAAAAAACATACAGACGAATTGAGTAGCTCCTTCTTTTGGGAAGTCGGTCAAAAATCGCGGTGAGATATTATTACAACTTCATAATTAGGAGTATCACAAAAAATCTTCGTCGCGAAATAACTCGAGTTGAAAATCCAATTAATTATCTTGATTTCATTTAATTATTATTATATACTAGCTTCCGCCCGCGAGTCCGTCCGCGTGGTATTAATAAGAAGTCGGTCAAAAACAAAAGAAAGTAGCCTATGTGGTCTTCCAGACTATCTTTTACATCTATGCCATATTTCATCTAGATCCGTTCAGCTCTTTATGCTACAAACTCTAACAAACATCCATCCATCTATCCATCCATCCAAACTTTCACATTTATAATATTAGTATGATTTTATGTTATTACTTAATTTAAAACTAATTTGTAAAAGCGGTCGCACACCTTTGACTAAACTATCGCACATTGATTGTCGATTGTTTCGCAGCCAAACTGTTTAGTTGCACAACTAAATATCGAGTATGCAAAGCGAGATTAAACAGTTGTCCGATAGTTTGGTCAAAGGATTGTGCGCTCTAAGATTAAATTAAAATTTAGAATACGGACCTTTTGCCTTCTTCTAGGCAATTATTTCTTTCACACACGAAGTACCGGTTTTAATGTTGCCCTGGGCGAGATCCATTATACCAGCTATCTGTCTTTTCCAGCCCTGGGCAGTTACCCAACTACACCCTACCATAACAATAAGCAAAGAAAGCAAAAATGACCCTTAAATTTCGTCGCGCGATTTTGAGCTAAACTATTTAACTACGTCGTAGTCTTTGACTCCAAAAATCAAACAAAATAATGGGACCCACCTGCAAGCATTACCTTTCGGATAAAAAAAGAATTATCAAAATCGGTCCACTAGCGGCGGAATTATGCCGTAACACACATAGAAAAAAAAAACAAAAAAAAAAACGTAAAGAAGAATTGAGCAATTCCTTCTTTTGGGAAGTCGGTTAAAAACACACGCAAATAGCTTTCAGGTCTTTTATCGTGTAAAGCATAATCAGAACATCGATATGAGATAGACTACTCCTTCCCTAAGTTGTACCCTCCCCTCCCCTTTCCCAGATGATCGGATAGTTAAGGATCAATAGAGTAGGTTTATTGCTCCATCCCCCGAGACCGCACTAAACGTGGCCGAATCGAATGTACTGAAATTATTATTAGGTAGTCTAGTCTCGGCGCTCGTGTGAGTACACTATTGTAATATAATTTTGTATTTTTAAATGTACTAGAAACTTTTAGAAAGTAACATTTTAACTGCGTAACATCTGTGTGGCACTGCATCCGCTATGACCACGAACAAAAAAATAATTTAAGCAAATAATAAATTGTCAGAAATTTATAATAACGCTATAAATAGTAAAATAATATAAATTTATTTGGACCACAATATCAAAATTTTCAAAGTTAAATTTAAAATTAACAATATTCTAAATTTCACTGCAGAAAATTGGAAAGTTAAAGTTTTAAAAATAAAAAAAGCGAAAGGCATTTAATTTATTTGATGGATTTAAAAAGCCATTTATATAACTTGGCTACTCTCCAAGTTGTTGCGGACTGGGAATCTGACAATGTCTGTCCTGTGCGGTGGGATACGAACACACAACACTCTGTGTGAGTGTGTGTGTGTGTGTGTGTGCACAACTCTAGTTCTCTTACCCTTCCCAGAAAGAATTGGTGCGGGTGGGGACGTATCAATTCGCTCTTGTCTCTACGGAGGGTTGGCACAGTAAGTGCTACTCATCCATACATTTCTATCAGTCATCTGAAAGTGAGCGTGGATGTCTAGAAAGGGTTAATTTACTCTTTTTTTACGTTCTTCATCATTCTGCCCTTATCCTCCTCCAGTAGGTGGTATTATGTCCATGTTGTTACTCCATACATCCATCCATAGTCCGTTTTGTATGACCTCTGCAGCATAACAGCTCCTTTCTTGCCATATATGAGCAGTCAATTAGGTGGCCGTTTACACTTTCTCTTAAAAAAATTTGGCAATCTTCCAAGCTGTTCAGATTGGCAATTGTAAGGCACCAGGTGCAGCTCGGCCGGCGCTTGCCAAACTGCTGCAAGCTATATCCAGTTAAAGTTATTTATTAGCTCGAATTCATGAAGTTTAAGTGCTTTTTAAGCTTTTGCACGTGCCAAGTGTAACTAAGTTTTAGTGTGTTTAAAATTTTCAAGTTCTTTAATGTTTATTAAAAAAATTTGTAGCTACTATATCTCGCCTATTGTTCGAATTAGACTATCTTACTAATTGTCAGACATACAACACTAGTGATGACCTTTCCTCATCAGCTTTCCTGATGAAACCTACATTACGTGAAAACGCACATTTTTTTAAACATGTTGTAACCGGGCTGCCTAATCCTAGCCTGGCAAGGCTATGTTTAATTGATATCTGAAGTGAGCAATTTTTGGAGCAAAAATCCATGAAATTTCCTGAAAATTTTGTCACCAATCGATAATACGTAACGTAAATATAACTCTAAGGTGGAGTTGCCATTTTCCTGGCAAGAGTGGGGGTTGCCAGCTATTAAATGGCGACAAAATAGAGGCTAATTACCTTTATCGAATTTCTTCATGAAATTATACTCAAAATGAAGATATTAATGGTCCTAACACAATGGGTTGCCTTACCTTAATATCATAGATGCGAAAGATTAGATGAATGGGTAGATATTTGTTATAGTTAGTCTAAACTGCTTTATGGAAATAGATGAAATTTGTGTATAGATGGGTATAGATGTATATTCCGGAAGAACACATAAACTACTGACTTTTTTAGCAAGTAATTGATAATCAAAGTTTTTTTTGCATTAATAGCTTGATAAAATTTGACTTTATCGTTTCATTTTCGCGTAATAACACAGTCTGATAGGCTCTTTGCTTTTTGTATTGCGTGTTTATTTCTCTATAACAAAAGATCTCTTTATTGTCAATACATTATGTGTCATCTATACTACTATAAAAAAGCGTAAACACACACTACTTCGTGGCGTAGGATGTCAGCAATCACAGCATCTTTTTGAATAATTATTCCCTTAATAACAAGCCCTACACTTACATGCTTTAGATTATATATTTTCGCGATATTAAACTTAGGGGATAAAGAGATTAAAAAAACCTTGTGGGAAAGGGACCATAAATTACAAGCTGCCAACATTAAGAAAGCCAGGTTGTTCTGGTAACGGTAATCTTGACAATTGCAATTGAGAATTTAACAAATGTTAACAATAAAATAAAGTTTTTATAATTTCATGCGAATGAAGCCGCACGGGAACAGCTAGTTTGAAATAACCCGCGGGCGGCGAACCTTTTGTTAACTTATTCGATTATTTCCACTACAATAGGCTTTGAGGCTCGACGTGAAATGTATGTGACTTGAATATGTTACCTTTTTACTTTATTAATCGGATAAAAGGTAAGATAAGAAAGGAAAGAAAGATTCCCTTTCATTCCCTTCCTTCCTTATCTTTTCACTAGCTGTTCCAGTGCGACTTCATCCGCATGAAATTATGAAAATTTTGTTTTATGGTTTACATCTGTCAAATTAGCAATTACAAATCTCAAAATGACATGACATGATGACAACCTTGCTTTATTGATGTTGGCAGTAACTTATGGCCTCTTTCCCACATTAGGTTTTTTAACCAAAATATTTACTCCATAAGTTCAATGGCGTTAAAATTTATAGGCTAAAGCGTGACGCAAATGTAGTTCTTTTTATTAAGAAAAGAATTATCCAAAAATATGCTGTAATTGCTGACATGTTAGGCAACAAAGAAGTGTGTGTTTACGCTTTATTATAACAGTATAGATTTATTAAGTCGCATTTTTACAATTTAAGACTCTTACTAATATTATAAATCAAATAATTTAGATGGATGGATATTTGTTAGAGCTTGCAGCCTAGCATAGTCTAATAGAACACATAGACTATACTTTTGTTTTTTTTATTCCATGCCAGTCGCGGTCGAAAACTAGTTTCATTATACCTCTGTTACTGGCCAATAAGCTTGTTGCACTATATAGCAATCAATACGTGAGATATTTTTACTCTATTCTCTTTGTAGCGAATATTCTTGGAACTGATACGCACGCACTACCATTTCTTTAAAATTCAGCGCTGGAATTCGATGTCAAAGACTACGTAATATACCGCGTAGGGTCCTAACTGTCCCTGTTTTGTCTGTCACCTGCAATAGTGCTATCCCTTCCATACTGTCTAATAACAATAGAGACAAGAATGTATGAAGGGACTGCAATTGAATGACAAGTAACTAATTTTTAGGGCATTAACAAATGTAAGAAACATCAATTATTTCTTAAAGTAAAGTGAAAGTGCGGAATTGGATATTAAATTTGTGTAGGACCTTCAAGGCTTTATAAAAAAATGGGTAAGTGCTTTTAAAACAAATCGCAGACAAGGGTACAGATAGTGCCTTGGATATCTCGCTGAAAGTGGCCGCTTGTTCTTTGTGCCTAATCGTAAAAAATTAAATAACAAATATGACGCCGCTTATAAATGTGCCTGTACGAAAAATGGACCGGCGTAGTTAATTTTAAAATTATTTTTTATTCCCATCCCGTCTGAGTTTGTCTCGTTACAAGGGACATGGCAATTATTAAACGAAACACCGCAAGTTCCCGCGACAGTACCGTTATAATTAAGCATGTCTGATTTAACTCGTGACAGATTATGCTTTTAAAGTGCTCGCGATGTCCCCTCTATAATAAATTTAAATGTCTTCACTTTGCTCTTTAATTGTATTTTCGTATTACAGAGGAGGAGTTGGAGGAGAGCACTACTCTGCCGCCTCGCTACCGCCCCGAGCCGCCGGACGCGCTCGCCCGCGCGTGTCGCTTCACACCGCATGAGATCAAACTCATGTACAGGGGATTTAAGCAGGTAAAACTCCGTGTACAGGGGCTTTACAGACTATATAATAATAATAACACAGGACAGGACTATTGCTACAAATAGACCTGATATAGTAATAATAGATCGGTCTGAGAGTTGTGTAATGTTAGTCGATGTCACTATCCCACATGACGAGAATCTCGGGAAAGCCGAAAATGAAAAACTATTAAAATATTTGGATTTGGCTCACGAGATTACCGCCATGTGGCGTATGAAATCGACTACCATTATTCCGATAGTCGTTTCGGCACACGGGCTGATAGCGAAGAGCTTCGACCAACACCTCAAGAAGCTAGACAGTTGGATTAAGGGCCCGATTCAAAAGGCGGTTATTTTAGAAACCGCACGACTAGTGAGGAGGTTCCTGTCTCTGCAGCCCTGACCACTGGTTGCTTGAGTCATCGGATTCCGCAGCCGGTGGTGCTCTATTTTTTATATAATATATTTTATTTTAATTTTTATATTTTTGTAAAATGTATTATATAGAGAGTAAGAAATAAAGATATATGAATAATAATAATAAACTTTATTTCAAGCTACATGTTTTTTTTGCTCATAGTTTGTTAGTAATAGAAAAAACTTAATACTTATGTTAGTCACACATACATCCAAATGTTATTCTAAACTGTACAATTATCGCTTGCCACGTGCAGCTTTATGCAGTGATTGATATA